CCATGTACTCTTCTGCAGATATAGCGTGCCTGGGAGGAGAGTAGATCGCAGAGATTGAAGAACGCCATGTACTCTTCTGCAGATATAGCGTGCCTGGGAGGAGAGTAGATCGCAGAGATTGAAGAACGCCATGTACTCTTCTGCAGATATAGCGTGCCTGGGAGGAGAGTAGATCGCAGCGATTGAAGAACGCCATGTACTCTTCGGCAGATATAGCGTGCCTGGGAGGAGAGTAGATCGCAGAGATTGTAAAGGGCCATGGGGCAGCACCAACTTGAATATTGGCAGCTTGTATTTTGTCAGACTGGTGGTGTAGTAGTTCATGGTGAGTGGTTGCACTTCGAATTATAATAGCTGCACCCCCATGTGCAGTGCCATCTGGGTGAGGAACATGGTACTTTGTAGTATGGTATTATAAACATTTTTCTAGTAGTGAAGTGCGTCTCTGATATTAATGCAATATCTGTTTTATGTATTTATAGAAAGTTTTGCAGTTCTAGCTTGTGGTTTGACAGCCCGTTGACATTTCAGAGTAAAATTCGTAGCGAATTTTCCCTTATTGGTCAGTTTTGTTTATAAGAGTGCTTAGCATGTTCAGTACCATGCTGTTTTGATTGATTAGTTGGTTGAAGATGGCTTTGAATTCATTTAAGAAGGTTGAGACCTGCTCTGATACGTTGGGTGACTGCAGGTTTTGTGAAAGTATTCGGGAATAGGGAGTCTGTTGATTTGATGGAGTTGGAACTGGAGATGTATTGGAGTTTAAAGGAGGAAACTGGTTATTATTGTTGATGTTAATATTTGTGTTATGTGTTTGAGTGAAGTTTTGTCGTGGTTGAATTATTGTTTTGCTTCTTACTTTTTGTAAGTTTTTATATACGTCGCAACCGTTGTAATTGACCGGGTGGCATAGGGCGCATTTTGCTGGAGTATTTGGTTTCTCTTTACACGAGGTTCTGTTGCGTCCGCCTCTGCATTTAACACAAGTATACGGTCTTGCGCAATTTGTTTCTGTATGCTCATAGCACTGACATCTTGTGCACTGTACAATGTCATTTTTCTTTCCTGGGACTACTCAGTCATAAAAGAAACCCGCGCTACAACAGACGAAACGGAATATGAGCCGTTCTGGGCATATATGTGGAGGATCTTACCAGGACGCAATCTGTATGGCTGGACACTTCTTGCCTGTCCGGTTGACCTCATTTCTTTCGTTTTGTGTCGCTGTTTTCGACGGGTCTCGTGCAGGAAGGATGAGATGAAACAGGAACTGTTACAGAATGCCGAGGTTCTCATGGGACAGTTGAGAGATGCATTGGCGTTTATGCAAGATATGAAGAAATGTCGTGACCGGTTCCAGAGTGATGGTGAACCAGTGAAGAAGCTTGTGAAGGTGGAAGACGAACTCCATGATCGATTCCAGATTGAGGTGGATTACATGACGGAGAAGACGATGGAAGACGAAGAAACCCAAGCTCATTTCAGAACGAGATGGTTCGAATGAAGATGATGAAAATGGAAGGCAGACGCCATGTTCAGTTACAGAAGCGGATGAATTCAGTGAAGACGACAATGATAGCGGCACACAAGCTCCATGATGTACCCCCAGAATAAGGCGGAATCTAGGAAGAGAACTGGGGCTATCCCATTCAGTTTTGAGATTTCAGTTCTGTAAGGGAGGCTGTCAGCCGGTCACAGTGGTCGCATGGTCTAAGGCATGGACTTTCTTAACTCACTCGAACGCTGAATCGTGTGTTCGAACCCTACTCAAGGCATGGATGTCTGTATGTGGGTTTATTCTGTATTTGTGTTGTCTTCTGTGTAGGTAGCGGCCTTGCAAAGGATTGATCACTCATTCAAGGAGGCCTACCGTCTGTGTAAAAAGGATTACGGAACTAAAGAAGAGGTCAGGGCCCAACAAAGGGCTGTAGAGCCATTGGCGGATGAAAAAATGAATTAAAGGGAATGCTGTAAAGAAAAGAATTAGGTGAAAGGTGCAGCTGTGAACAGAAGATTTTATATGTGATCTCTGGAGTGTGTAATTCAGTCAGAATGTTATAGTTCCTGTGTTAGAAGCCGTTACCAGGAAACGGCTAGTGTAGAATGTACAAGTAGTAGACTGAGGACACTAGTATGTGTATCGGTGATCTGTAAAACATACTACAAATCCAATATCGAATCCAAAACCACATCTAGAGTATTTTGGCGTTTATAATGTCACTTATAGCCGTCTTCTTCGGAGGGTTCTGCTTATTGATCTTTCTGTTTACATGTAGGCAGCAAAGTTGGAGAAGTTTCTCGTCACCTCTTGGGATGGTGCTGTATGAACGTATGTATGAACGTGTAGACGTCTAGAGTAGGAGAAAACTGTTCCATGTCTCCTTACTTGCCTCCCTGCTTATTGCTGGTTTCTTGGTTCGTTTACAACTCGGTACTAAATGTTGGGGCAATGCGTTCCTTCGAAACGTCTGTGAACTTTTAAGTGCATGGTGTTATATCCCTGGAGATCTCACTCATTTCTTTCAAGTAAAGTTTGTGACTTTGAGTTAGATGTGCGAGTTGTAGTTGCGTGCCAATTAGGAGTATCGTCTCTTAGTTCACTTTTATTTTAAAATAAAGTGCTTCTTATCACACTTTGCATGAAAAGCTATGAATATAATTTGTACAGCCAAATATAAATAATGAAGGGAAGTTACAAAAAGTTGCTGTAAGCAGAATTTTTCATGAATATATATATATATATTTTTTGTTGCTTAAAAGTTATAAAGTTAAGTCTTTTATGAGAGGCAGGCGTATTGCTCACTTCTGTTAATATCACGTATCATTAGTACAGAAATTGAAAAATGTACTGCCGGTGGGTAAAGTCTATTTTAACGAAAGTGTAACTTTGATATTAAGTTTACAATATAAGAAACTCTTAACCAGTTCAGGTGACATGTTTTCAGTCAGTTCTGACTGTAAAAAATAAGGTGAAAATAAAATAGCAAGCTTCATCAAATCATAAACTTCTCGTTTATTAACAGGTACAATTTTGCTGCCTTCTGCGATGTGACTCTGTTTAGTCCCAGAGTTCAACGACGTTTCGGAGGAACGTTCTCCATTTTTCAGGGTTGAAGTATAAGCCCAGTAAGAAGAAAGTTGAGAGTTTACTGCCTGCTTTTTTTCTGTTTTTTACTTATTCTTCGACCTTGAAGCTGGAAGCAATACTTTCCTCCGAAACATCGATGAATTTGTGCATCAGATCCCAGAATATATGCTCTCCATAGTGACGTCAGTAGGAGATTCAGGTTGTTTCAGAATCTGGTGTAGGGGAGCATATTTGCAAGAGTTTCTAACAGACAGGAAGTGACGGGAGGCTGGAGAAAATTGCATAATGCGTGGCTTCGTATTTTGGATCTGACGTTCTCACGGTGTGACTATGAAAAGTCCAGTCTTCTCTGTTGTAACGCCCTGTATTTCGCAGAAAATACGATGTTTCGGAAGAACTAATCGCCTCCATCTAACGGCAGAAGAATAAGTCAATGGAGAAACCAGCAAAAGCAGGAGGAAAACAGAGGAAACATGAAGGCGTTTCTTCCTCCGAAATCTCTGGCTTTCTCCGAAACAGTGGGCGCCACATCTGGGGACATCGTACATTTCCGTGGCTTCATACTTTGTAAGCCTTCTCTTTACCAAGCAGACTATTATTAGAGTGAACGAGATAAAAAGGTAACATGCCATGGAGGCTTATACTGTTGTGAGACGTCGAGGCTCCCACATTTTCTCTAGACAGTCAGTTAACAGATGGCGGTGAGGTCAGCCTTACACGCCGCTCGCCGTTTACTCCCAGGAAGATTCGTGTTACCCATTTTTGTTAGAGGCTGAGTTGACTCTAGGGCCATAGTGCGTTTGGAAGAATTAGGTCACTTGAAAAATTCAGTGACCTCAGGGGAATCGAACGCGCGACCTTTCGGCTTGTAGCATAATGCCCCGAACGAATGATACAGGCTAAATAAAATATAGATTAAAGCATACGTGTATATTTCGGATAAAGCAATAACGCTTTAAAAGATAGAGATTCACATTACGACATTTCGTTTTACGAATTATCGCCAGGAGCGTAACTATTTTTATCAGCAAAGGCTACCTGTATGCTGATATTTACAGAGCGAGAGTTTTAGTTTGGTTCGAGGTTCTGGGATGAAGTTCTCCCTGTGCTTAATTAAGCATCCCGTCTCGGAAACGGATGGTGGAGCGAAGGCAAATGTATTCCCACTCTTAAACTCTATCCTGGATGGGGGAAAGCAATCAGCTTCACGCTCCTTGGGAAAATCTCCCGCTGTACGAATTGGATAGGAGGCTGGGTGGGCCCAAAGCCAGCCTGAACGCTCTGAAGAGAAATCTCTTGCCCCATTCGGGAATCGATCACTAATTACTTGTTCGTCTAGCTATACCAAGTAGGGTCTTGAGGGTTTTAACTAAAAAAAAAACTCCGTGGTTTTAGTCCGCAAGCGAACTATACCGACCGAGCGACCACCGCTTGTCGGCGAAGTTGGTATCAACTTTAGCGGGTAGAGGGTGTCGCATGGCCAGCGCAACGAATCCCCACGGCCGTTAACTTAGGTTTCCTAGACCGGAGCCGCTACTTTTCCATTCAAGTAGTTCCTCAATTATCCTATGAGGCTGAGTGGATCCCGTTCCAGACCTACTACTTCTCAGAAAATCTGGTAACGCCGGGAATTAAACCCGGGACCTCTGGATCTGTAGCCAGGGACTCTGACCACTAGACCACAGAGGCGGTCATTGAAATATTATCCACAGATTATTAAACGATATTTGTTTCTTTAAAAACACAGCTAGTTAGTTCAGTTTTCGTTATTATACCAAATAAGAAACAAGAAGATTGTCATAACCGAAATTTGTTGTTACTGATAGGGGCCTCCACAGTTTGATTGCCCCAAGGGGGACCCCACAAATGTAAATCTGGCCCTGTTCTTTTGGAAAGAACAGATATGACTTACCTAGAAATGCTGTAGGTGAGATGATGCCAGTTCTTTTGGCTACCACAATAGCAATTCCTGTATCGAGGAAAGGTAACGAGAAATCGATAGCTTGCGATCTCTCGAAATTGATCTTGAGCGACGTGATAACCATGTCTGCTTGATGGTTTATAAGGGCAGCCACCAGGCCGTTCCATCTGCCATTCTGTGGGCATAACGTCATGAAAAGTGGGTCAGTATATTGTCTTGCAAGATGATACCGACGTTTCGGAGCAAAATATTACTTCCATCTTCAGGTCCGGACCTGTACTGGACCCCATTTCTCTCCTCTTAGCGCAGAGTGGCCGTCTTCCATATATCTCCCTAAAACAGGCGATTTCCTCTCGGGGAAGCCCCGAATTAATAATCACGCAATAATTTACCTACGGAAACGAAATTTTGCGAGTATATTCTGGTAGACATTGAGATACTTTGGTCACAGAAGACTCTGAAATTAGTTTCCTTCCGCCTGGAGAGACTGACCGAAACCCCTCTCCATACTCGCATCAATTGCACCGCCTCAAAAGTAGGATCAAGACTGAAGAAAATGGCGCCCGGTCACTGTTGCAAGTTACACAGTGTTGCCAAGTTTCACATTCATCGGTAAATTATTATGTGAATTATAATTATTAATTCGGCGCTTCACAGAGTGAATCATTGTATATAACACAACTGAGTCCTCACCTTGTATTCAACTTCGAGGATGGAAACACCATGTTACTCCGAAACGTTGTTTAATATTTACACCTCTCAGTGAGATTTAAGGTTTGTTATTTGTGTTATATATAATTTATTATAATAGTAAAACTTGTATGCTTCAGCAGTTATTGCGCAAGTTAATGTAGTCAAGCGTCTCCATTCGTTAATCGTTGACTTCAGGGCTACTGTAATTTTACTCGTAAGTATCTTTGGCATAATAAGTATATTTAGGTACTTTGGTTTTCTTTTAATTTTGAAATCAATATATCAGCGGTCATCCTACATTATACAGTATGTAGTACAGGTTAAAATAACTTACGTTTGATAAACATTAATACGAAAATTTGGTGATCTTAACGTGTATTTCCATCTGGCGATTAAATTCCTTATTTACGAATTCTTATGAGATTTAAGTTCATTATATTTCCTCCAAAACTGTTATATTAATTCCTTCATTTAGATGTCCGAAATACATTTTATTCCGTGTAACGTAACAAATAACAGACTTGTATAAAGTTTAATTTGGGTTTATATTGTGGTGTATTAAATATTGTCACGTGTTTTGTGCGTCACGCAACAAATAGATGCACGTAGGTCTCAAATTCATTAGAACCTTTATTGTTCTTCACACTCACACAATCACACGCTTTACAATTCCGACGTTTCCATAGAAGTGACTCTTCCGGATTCCAAACACGTTACAATATGTAAGATTTGAGGCTTTCACGGCGGTGACTATGAAAAAAGCAGTCTTCTGGGATTTGGCACCGTGTATATGTGGTGTTAACCGACGTTTCGGAGGAACGTATCGCCCCCATCTNAAAAACGAAAATCTTGATAATCAAAGCCATGAAAATCTCAAAAGTTCAATTTTGTTCAGATTTACTGGGTTTTTGGACTTTGTCCATCGTCCTGTATTCTAGAATCTAGAAAACAACTGAAGAAAGCAGTCTTCTGGGATTTGGCACCGTGTATATGTGGTGTTAACCGACGTTTCGGAGGAACGTATCGCCTCCATCTTCAGGGTAGAAGAAAAAATAGAAATCTGCAAGCGAGGAGACCGTGAGAACCGGTAAAAGCAGACTGTGTGGAAATATACACAGTTATGTGAGAGCAGAGAGGGAGAAGGGGTGAAGGGCAAGTATACAAGCGAAAGCAGTAGTGTGGGAGGGGTAGGGGAAGGGAGCTGGGACAAGCGTGGTTTTTGTGTAGGGGAGAGAAAGGTAAGGTTAAAGGCTTGGAACAACCCGTAAGCTGAGGGGGAGGGGTTGTTATGTTGGTTGGTCATGGCCTGTGTGGCCTTCTGGATCTGGCGTCATATCGCGGTGGGGGTTTTTTAAGAGAACAGATGAGAGGTTTCCAAGACTTGCTGAGACAAAACCCCCCTCTCTGTTCATATTTCCTGGATGCCGTTCAATCTCAATTGCCTCCCTAATGATACGATCCATATAGCAG